AAATTGTAAAAGTGTCCATTGTTGTTGTATGCCATCTTTTGCAAGAGAATTGGTTCTGTCAAGTCAGCCTTGACTTCTGGTGATTGTCTGGGCTCCTCTCTGCAGTATTTTTTGGCAAGATTGATACAGTTTAAAGTGAGCCTTTTTATCTTTTCCTCATATTTGAGGGGAAAAAAATTAAAATTTCAAACTTTATTTCCCAAGTCTGTTCAACTACAATACCTTTCATCTAGCCAAAATAGTGATTGGTTGCAGTTGGTGTTATAGTCAGATTTAGAAATTGGGGGACATGAAACTAGTAGACTGTTAAAATGTACAAATAGTGTATCAGTGAAGCAAAGATATCTAGAGCTACTTTATCAGTATTCGATAATGTTTTATAATGCTTTATTTGAAACCCTAAGCAAAATGTGACTCATATAAATTGTAGAACTATAATAATTGGGATTTCTTGTTGTTCTTTAGTTCACTCCCATATAAGCATACACAGAAGCCAAGTTTGCATTGCCTTCGCAGGCTTTATTGCTACAGGAAGTTGTTGTTGTACAAAAATAGAGTTTATCCCAATGCAAATAGAGGACAAAGAATACAAAATCAGGAGAGGAGAAATAGGAAATGCCCTTGTTAAGGCCAAGTGGGGAATGTGGGGGGAATAGGAATTGCTGATCCTAGGCCAGGGCATAGCATCAGTTTCTAATGTATACCAGACCCACTGTCAGCTTCATAAATAGGTTGCCACCAGGGAATGAGTGGGGTACAAATAAATAAATAACTTATAGAATAAATAAGTTGGATTAGAAAATTTAAACTTTCTAAATAGGTTTAGAAAATGTCACTTCTAAGGCAGGTGGGTTCCCACTCTGCTGGTACTAAATAATGGTTGAACCAGAACTGAAAACCATGGCTGCTTCCATTGCCAGCCTGGTACGTGCAGTAATCAAACTCCAAACCATTGCTAGTATGTCTGTGTATGCTGCACACCAGTATGCCACTGCCATCATTGGCTTTATACCAAACTCCTTTTCTACCTGTGGACGCCTTGACTGTGCTCCCAGTTCTGGCTTGCAAAAATCCTGATAACTACTGATAACTACTAGATGGCATCAACCTTCCTTAACCCAGATCTGGTAGCTCTGAGAAAGACATCAAATTTGTCCTTTCATACATCCACACTTTTCTGCTAAAGGATAGGCTCTCACTGGAAAAAATAATCAAACTTCTCCCAAACAAACTACAACATTATTCAATCCTCAGATAATGCACTGATTATTCTAGCACAGGTCACAAGGTTGGAGCGACCACTGAATGTTCAGGGCACTAAATAGGCTTGCAAAATTATCCTTCATGCTTATCCACAATTGCTCCTACCTAGATGCAGTCAGAACATGTTTCTAAAGAAAAGGCAGATGGTGGGCTCAAATGAAAACTGGGGAGAGAATTGCAGAAGATGACATGACCTAGTGAACAGCCTTCTTTCAACTACCTGGAAGAAGATCAGTTGGCATTACAAGTATCTCAAGCTAAATGCCACACCCCCATCTCATGAATAAGGTGTGAGAATTTCCAATGCTTTTTATTCAGTGGGACAAAAGGCTTGATAGGTAAGAAGATTCACAACGCTGTTGATAGACCAATCTTTAAACGAGAAATGTCCATTCTGGAGTCATGCAAAAAAGAAAGTATACCCTCTATGGTTATTATGTATCAGGACATAGTAAAAATAATCTGGCCCTTAGTAGTTCTTTAAGGTAGGTAAAGGCAACCTTAGCTGCACAACAATACATGACATGTTATGCCATGTCATCATTTGTTTTACAAAAAGGAGAAGCCATGTGTGAAAAAGTAAGTACACTCTTACTGCTTCAAAAGGTATGTAGAGGCTAAATAGCAGCCAGGTGCTGCTACTCAAGTACCCTTGATCAATTGACCATCAGCAAGTGTGAGTACTTCTATAAAAGCCAAAATTTTAGGAGTTTGCTAGTCTCCAATATTGAGGTTTGTGTTAACAGAATGCCAAAAAGGAAATGCATCAGCAATCATACTAGCAGAGTGGGAATCCACCTGCCTTAGAAGTTGTAAGAAGTTATAAGAAATTATAAGAAGTTATAAGGCCATTTCTAAATAATTTAAAGTCTGCCATTCTATAGTGAAGAAGATTATTCACAAGTGGAAAATATTCAAGACAGTTGCCAATCTTCTCAGAAGAAGATGTTCCAACAAATTCACCCCAAGGTCAGATTCTGCAATGCCCAGAGAAATTGCAAAAAATCTAAGAGTTACATCTCAGACATTACAGACCTCAGCATGTTGAAAGTTAAAATTTCATGACTGTACAATTAGAAAAAAACTGAATAAGTATGGTTTGTCTGGAAGGGTCGCCAGGATAAAGACTCTTGTCTCTAAAAAGAACATGACAGCATAGCTTAGGTTTACAAAGTTGCATCTGAACAAATCACAGAACTTCTGGAACACTGTCCTTTGGATAGATGAGACCCATATGGAGATGTTTGGCCATAATGCACAGTGCTACATTTGGTGAATACCAAACAGTATATCAGCACAAACCTCTGATACTAACCATCAAGCATGGGGGTGATGATTTAGGCTTGTTTTGCAGCCACAGGACCTGGACACTGTGCAATTATTGAATCAACTATGAACCTCTGTATACCAAAGTATTCTAAGTCAAATCTGAGGCCATCTGTCCAACAGTTAAAACTTGGCCAGCATTGGCCCATGGATCATTGGACAACAATCCCATGCAAACCAGCAAATCTACAATAGAATGACTAAAAAGAAAAGAATCAAGGTGTTGCAATGGCCCAATCAAAGTCCAGACATCAACCCAATCGAATGCTGTGTCAGGACCTCAAGAGAGTTATGCATAAACAAATACTCACAAATCTCAATGAACTGAAACAACATTGTAAAGAACAATAGGCCAAATTTCCTCCACAACAGGGGTCCCCAAACTTGGAAACTTTAAGACTTGTGGACTTCAACAGCTGCCTGGAGAATTCTGGGAGTTGAAGTCTACAAGTCTTAAAGTTGCCAAGTTTGGAGACCTCTGCTCCACAACAATAAGAGAAGCTGATAAAGCCATACAGAAAATGATTAATGATCAAGTTATTGCTGATAAGATATTGAATCATAAGGTGTACTTAGTTTTTCACACATGGCTTTTCCATTTTGGCTTTTTGTAAAAAAAAGATGACATGGTGTAATATGTCATGTGTTGTTCATCTGAAGTTATATTTACCTAATTTTAAGAACTAAAGATCAGATGACTTTTTACTATGTCCTGATAAGTAAAGCCACAGAATTCAAAGAGGGTGTGCTTTCTTTTTCACATGACTGTATAACTAGCATCACTGATGAGAGGTAAATGCTCTCGAAAGAAGGCCAAGTATATATACTGCTCAAAAAATAAAGGGAACACTTAAACAACACAATGTAACTCCAAGTCAATCACACTTCTGTGAAATCAAACTGTCCACTTAGGTAGCAACACTGATTGACAATCAATTTCACATGCTGTTGTGCAAATGGAATAGACAACAGGTGGAAAGCATAGGCAGTTAGCAAGAGATCCCCAATAAAGGAGTGGTTCTGCAGGTGGTGATCACAGACTACTTCCCAGTTCCTATGCTTTCTGGCTGATGGTTTGGTCATTTTTGAATGCTGGTGGTCCTTTCACTCTAGTGGTAGCATGAGACGGAGTCTACAACCCACACAAGTGGCTCAGGTAGTGCAGCTCATCCAGGATGGCACATCAATGCAAGTTGTGGCAAGAAGGTTTGCAGTGTCTGTCAGCGTAGTGTCCAGAGCATGGAGGCACTACCATGAGACAGGCCAGTACATCAGGAGATGTGGAAGAGGCCGTAGGAGGGCAACAACCCAGCATCAGGACCGCTACCTCCGCCTTTGTGCAAGAAGGGACAGGAGGAGCACTGCCAGAGCCCTGCAAAATGATCTCCAGCGGGCCACAAATGTGCATGTGGCTGCTCAAACGGTCAGAAACAGATTCCATGAGGGTGGTATGAGGGCCCAACATCCACAGGTGGGGGAGTGCTTACAGCCTAACACTGTGCAGGACATTTGGCATTTGCCAGAGAACACCAAGATTGGCAAATTCACCACTGGTGCCCTGTGCTCTTCACAGATGAAAGCAGGTTCACACTGAGCACATGCGACAGACGTGACAGGGTCTGGAGACGCCGTGGAAAACATTCTGCTGCCTGCAACATCCTCCAGCATGACTCGTTTGGCAGTGGGTCAGTAATGGTGTGGGGTAGAATTTCTTTAGGGGACCACACAGCCCTCCATGTGCTCACCAGAGGTAGCCTGACTGCCATTAGGTACCGAGATGAGATCCTCAGACCCCTTGTGAGACCATATGCTGGTGCGGTTGGCTCTGGGTTCCTCCTACTGCAAGATAATGCTAGACCTCATGCGGTTGGAGTGTGTCAGCAGTTCCTGCAAGACGAAGGCATTGATGCTATGGACTGGCCCGCCTGTTCCCCAGACCTGAATCCAATTGAGCACATCTGGGACATCTTGTCTCGCTCCATCCACCAACGCCACGTTGCACCACAGACTGTCCAGGAGTTGGGGGATGCTTTAGTCCAGGTGTGGGAGGAGATCCCTCAGGAAACCATTTGCCACCTCATCAGGAACATGCCCAGGTGTTGTAGGGAGGTCGTACAGGCACGTGGAGGCCACACAGACTACTGAACCTCATTTTGACTTGTTTTAAGGACATTACATCGAAGTTGGATCAGTCTGTAGTGTTTTTTTTCCACTTTAATTTTGAGTGTAACTCCAAATCCAGACCTCCATGGGTTGCTCAGTTTGATTTCCATTGATCATTTTTGTGTGATTTTGTTGTCAGCACATTCAACTATGTAATGAACAAAGTATTTAATAACAATATTTCATTCATTCAGATCTGGGATGTCTTATTTTTGTGTTCCCTTTATTTTTTTAAGCAGTGCATTTAGGCCCAAAATACTATGCTTTGCTCCTGTTAATTGTCCATTCATTCCTCGCACCTGGACACTAGTGTGAAGTTTATTTCTCCTCCTGCTGCCACTTACTGGCAGGGCAGGCTTATTTTTATTTTATTTATTTGTATCCCGCCTTTATCATTTTTACAAATAACTCAAGGCAGTGAACATGTCCAGTACACTTTCCTCCTATTTTCCCCACAACAACAACCCTGTAAGGTGAGTTGGGCTAAGAGAGAGGGACTGGCCCAAAGTCACCCAGCTGGCTTTCATGGTAAAGGTGGGCCATGAACTCACCGTTTCCCACTTTCTAGCCTGGTGCCTTAACCACTAGACCAAATTGGCTGTCTATGATCTCTTATATCTATCTTTTATGATCTCTCTGTAGCATGAACAAGGATATATCAATTCAGAAACCCTGGGAGCTCAGATCAGATAGCATATTTAGCCCACACAACCACATGCAGCTGCTGAACCTTTTTCCACATTTTGCCAGACATTGTATATATCCAGGAAAGAGAAGTTCTCAAACCGGAGGGGTCGGCAGCAAGGTTTAGAAACGAAATCCTTCTCTGCAGGCACAAGACCTTTCTGCATGATGTAATTCAAGATCTGGTCATAGTTAGTGATGGAAGACTCACATGACCCACTGCAATACTTGAACAAAACAACCTCCTCAGTTTTATAGCCAAGCCCCAGGTCTTGCACATTGAGTGCGCGGCTATGTAAGCGACAAGTACCCCTCCCAGACCTTCTGGGGTTTCTCTTGGCATTTCTTGAGTGCGATGGGGAATGTGCAGTCCTGAGAAGTTCAGATGTGTTCAGGTCTTGCATGGCCACGTTTTTCCCTGGAAGAAAAAAGGGAGAGGGGTCTTAATTCTTCCTCCCAAGGAGAAAAGAATAATACAGGAGGAGTGTTCCTAAGATGAAAAAGGGCATAAATCTTGAAGAAAATACAATTCTCAACCCAGATCACCCTCTGGGAGAAAGGAAGTCTCAAAAATCCGATTTACTTGGATCAAGAATTCAAATGAAGCACCCTCTTCCCCAAGCCACTTTCCCTGGAAAAATGCCAGGTCCCTACCATGCTGGTGGTTCCACGTAGCCAGAAATGGTGTTTCCATGCTGTTATTTTCCATAGAGGCAGAGTTGACAGAGCCCAGGCTTCCTGAAGCTGCTCTCAATGTCTCTGAATTTGCCATAACTATCTCAGCAAACAGTGATAGTATAGTTAAGGTACCCCAGAAATCCCGCTCCTAAGATAAGACAGGAGGATATATAACAGTAAATATGCTAATTAGGATACAAATAAAGTGGAAAGTAAGATTTGCTAAATGCAGGGCTATTTTACATATGATGATCCCCCCACCCCCATGACATCACATGTGGTCAAGACGGCCTTTGTCCAGCTCTACTGGTGCATCAGTAATGGAACCTACGGGAAGGTCTTGCAACAATAATTCATATTGTGATCACTATCCAACTGGACTACTGTACCTGTCAATAGTGGTGTTCCCCAAGGCAGTGTTCTAGGATCAACTCTCTTCATACTCTACATAAATGACCTCTGTGGTCATATTAAGTGCAACTGCGTTCTCTTTGCTGATGATGTAAAGCTATTCAACACCACAGACAATACTGCCATCCTTCAAAAAGACCTCGACTATGTATCAGAATGGTCAAACAAACGGCAACTTCAAATCTCAACAAATAAACGCTCTGTCTTACATATTGGCAAAAAATAAATAAATCAGAAAATAAAATACAAGCTGAATAGTCAAGACCTTGTTGGTGATCCAAACTCTGTCAAGGACCTTGGAGTACTCATCTCTAATGATCTAAATGCTGTAACTACATAGCCAAAAAGGCATTAAGAGTTGTTAACCTAATCTTACGTAGCTTTTTCTCTGGTAATATTACACTAATAACTAGAGCATACAAAACATTTGCTAGACCAATACTTGAATACAACTCATCATCTGGAACCTGCATTATGTATCTGATATTAACACAGTTGAGAAAGTCCAGAAATATTTCACAAGAAGAGTTCTCCACTCCTCTACTCGTTGCAGAATACCTTATGCCACCAGAGTTGAAATATTAGACCTAGAAAACCTAGAACTACGCCGCCTTCAGTCCGATCTAAGTATAGTATATAAAATTATACATTGCAATATCCTACCTGTCAATGAATACTTCAGCTTCAACCATAACAATACAAGAGCACTCAATAGATACAAACTCAAGGTAAACCACACCAAACTTGATTGCAGAAAATACAACTTTAACAACAGAGTGGTCAATGTCTGGAATACTCTACCTGACTCTGTGGTTTCTTCCCCAAACCCCAAAAACTTTAACCTTAGACTACTAAGGTTACTCTTGACCTCACCCCTTTCCTAGGAGGTCTGTTATCCATCATAGTCCCCATCCTATCGAACAAACTTTCAAGTTTGACTTGCTCTAAAATTGATGGCATTACAGAATCAAGTTAAGACAAAGCTCTTCTGGAGCTCTCTCTCTTTTTTAAAAAAAACTTAGTTAAGGTGATACCATCTTTTGAATTTGTTTTTTGTGTGTTGTTCCATTTATAGCCTGCCTTGTTGGTTGTCTTTAAATTTTAACCTTTTGCACCTTGGGTATTTTATTTCTTACCATTGATGCTTTATGTTTGTGATATTGTTGAAAATCTTGATTATAGAAGTATAAAATTGGAATGCAGTAAATACAGCCCTTCCATGGTGTAAAATGTGTGTCAAATGATCATAGGAAAATATCAACATGAAAAGGAATCTTTTTCACTTCAATCATATCCAGTGAGAAATCATGCAAATTCATCACACAAATGCCCATCTGAATTCATCACACAAATCAGTATATGACAGGCTGTATATTTTGGACTGTTATAGAAATGATATTCAAATTAAAAGTAACCATCTCAAGTGTGAAATTTGAAGCTTTGTCTGCCAGAAATGGACCAAAGAAACCAATATACCGAAAACAAAAGTGATGTGAAAGAAGGAGAAACTCTCCCAACTTTCATAAATTGAATTGACGTCTTTCATAAACAAGGCCTTTGTAACGTTCCACTGTTTCTGGAACTAATGCCCTGAAATCAAGAACATTCCTTAGCATTGACTAACTCACCCTGCATCGTGCTTGTTGGATAGGAAATCTCCTGCAGGAAGACGGAGGTCTGTGTAATTTGTGCCTTGACCAGTCAACTTTCCACTCCATCCTACCTAAAATACAAAGACAAAGCTCAGGAACCCAGTTCCATTTCTCTGAATGTGAAGACTAATTTTCACTCTTGGAAACTTCTGGTCCAGGTATGGCCCCTTGCCTGTTCAACCTCTATGAGAAGTCCTTCCTGGATTACACAATTCTTTCAATAAATGCCTCAATCCAATTAAATAAAGGTGCTGAAGAGCCTCCTAATTAGTTATCTTTTTGTGACTGGCCCGACTAAGGTATATATTGCAATTTTTAAATAAAATCTCCTTGTAATTGATCTGCTACATTAATAGAACGTTATATTGATGTTTCCATGGCTTCATCCCAATGTATCTATAACTGCCAGTAAAATTTTAAAATGCAAATCCTCTAATGTTAGCTAAGAATAGCAATACCGAAATTAAACATAAATTTTGCAACAGAATGCAAATATTATCATCCATTGTATTACGTTATTCCCAACTGCATCCAAAAATATTTCATGAAATAATCATAGATCCTCCCAGTATTGGAGAACAGTAACCTCTGTAGTATCTGGCAGGTGCACATACTAATAGGTAGAATACCTATAATATTTATATATTTAAAAGTGCTTCACCTACACTTGGAACAGAATATACTCATAGAAAAGTCTTACATTAAAATTTTCCACATGGGGAACTATTGTGGTGTGGATGATCTCAGGAGTCCACTTTCCTTTAAAAAAACAGTTTTATCTACCTTTCATCTGCAAGAATTTTGGATTAAAAACTAAGGATGCAAAGAATGGATTTAGTGGAGCAATATCACCAGTGGTTCCTTTTACCACCCTCAGAATGCCCAAAGTAGGTGAGCTTTTTCATTGTGGGTTTTTTTTTTTTTAGGGCAAAATGGGAGCCCTAAGACCTGCAAATATTTAAACAATTCATTTCATTCATTAAAATTCATGATACTCCATCAAAATAGGCCTTGGATCACCTACTTTTGAAAAGCCAAGTCTGGTGCAGACCTTGAACTCATAGGCCTTTAAGTAATTTAACTGTTTTAAGCTCTTCATAGTAGAGATCTATTTCTTTTTATCCCGCAATGGGCACACAGAAATGGGATAAATATAATTACATACAGAAATATGCCAATCAAAGAAATAAATCTGATTCTTCGCCATGTAACACACTTTTGTGTATTATTGTAATCTAATCTTTTAGTTTTTACTGTCAGCTATTTTTACCCACTCAATACTCATGGATATTTTTTATGTTTGCACTGTTTCTATCAGACCCTTTCCAGCTGCCTATTAAAAATGAATCATGCTATTGGCACTGCCATGTTGAATGAAGCACCAGGAACCTAGGTGGAATCCTCCTGCCCTCACACTTCTGATCCACAATTACAAAGAGCAACTCTTTGGAGAACTGAATGGAGAAATGGAGAGTTCACAAAGTGTCTTGAGTAATAGCTGGAACTAACAAAAAATGCTAAATGTTGTTTTACATCCTGGTTTAATTTTAGACACATCGAGCAACCAAAGATATGCCCCTAGCTGGACAAGATTTCTTTTTCTACAGTGCAGGGCTGGGAAGCTTCCTGAACAATCACTCCCAAGATCCCTCACCAATGGTATTTTGACTTTGGGGAGTATCGAATCAGATATTTGGGATCCTATCTTGAGTTTGTAGGTTTGTATTTTTCTCAGACTCCCACAAGGTGGCAATACAAAACCAGTTTTTTCCCCCCTACTGCTTTCTTTGCCCACACAGTTTCTTCTCACTATTTCCCAAGGACTGACAGAGTTCCTGGACTTGACTTTTCAGAAAATAATACAGAAGAGTCCAAATTCCTTCAGAGAGCATCAAGAACCCAACAGTTCAATCCTGAATTACATATATTGTCTTTTATTGTAGAGACACATTAACTTCTTGGAATGTCTCGCTCTATATTTTTAGGAGACCTATAGATAAAGTTGGAACATGACCACTGAAGTAAAAACAAGGGTAGAGAAAGCTCAAACAGCATTCTTCAAAATGAAAAAGGTCTTCTGCAGTCACAACACAAGGCTAAGATTGAAAATCAGATTGTTTCATCTTTTCTATCCTGCTCTACAGAGTGGAGAGCTGGTCTCTTGAGTCATTTGAAGAGATTATAAGCATTTGAAATGTGAACTTACAGGTGGCTGTTACGTATAAATTGGGTAGATAAAATCAGATGATAAGCTGCCTGGGAAAGCCAAGGGAAATAATCAAAAGCATAAAAAGCGACAGTCAGAATATTTTGGACATGCGATGTGACACCTGGAAAAATATGGCATACTTCATTTAATCCTCCAAGGAAAGACTGAAGGCAAACGAGGTCCAGTCAGAAGAAGAACATCATGGTTTCAAAATCTAAGGGACTGGTTTGGACAAAACTCAACAGTCCTTTTTCGTGTGGCTGTTGATAAAAATAGGATAGCCAACATGATCACCAACATCCAACAATGGATATGGCACAAGAAGAAGACAGATAAAGCCCCTTTCTGAAGAACAAGCACTCCTACCCTTTCTAAGTTATTTTGGTCTTTCTTGGAATCTGCCAGGGACCATGAACATATTTTCAGAAACACCCAGCAAATATGGTCCATTTAATTTTTCCTCTTTCACCTTTCATGTAGGGCCACAATCAGGTTTCTTTTATCTGTCATTCAGAAATGATCAAAGGAATTTTTGTTGTTTTCAATCCCAGCCATACAAAAATGAATACATTGCTGACGTCTGCTTCCACATCTCGTAAATCGATACAGAAGTCATCAGCTTCCAGCAATAAGTTCAGAAGTTTTGGATAATGACACTTTTCCTTTCCCAAGACCTTTGAATGGGAAAGCTGTGCCTTCTTATAGTGTTATGGCAAAGCTGCTAGGCCTTAATTTCACTTATCTGCATTATGGCAAGTATCCAAGATCTGAAAGTGAATTGACAAAAAAAGTTGGAACCACAGGAGATATGAGAGAAAAGCAACATGCAGAAATAGCTGGGCTATTCATTGAAGAGTTTGCTGCAAACCTGACTGGAAAGACCTAAATAACCCCTTAGGTTCATTCCTAAAAGTTGACACTTAGCATGCTAACACATGCAAAGCCAAAGTCAGATCGTTCCCGTTCCATCACTGTAATTTGTGTCATTAACTGGTTATTTCACTGTATTCATAAACGAGAAATGTTTAGAGTGGGTTTGTAAAAATAAAATAGCGCAAGCACCCAAAACCTCTTTTTTTTTCTCACAGGCAATTCAGCAAATAGGTCAAACAATGGATAATAAAGAAGAACATACTTGTCAACTGCGGACAGTCTGAATGGCTATTTCTGAGTGACTTCAAAGCAGTTTACCAATAAGATGTCTCAAGTTCCACTTGGATTTTGATGTACTAGAGCAAAAGAAAAATATTATCCTTTTGGATGCCTAGAAATATCAGAACAAATGTTTACATTAAGGCGGTCTGTTGCCAAATTGTTGAAGGAAGCTCATTTGATGTTTACTTTCCGAAACAAAGGGATATTGGCAACAAAGAATTTCTTAATCTGGTAGATTGCCGACGTATTCACCATTCAGCGCCACCTGCTCACCTTTAGAAAGCGTCAGTGATATATAATATACCATATGCAATATCTCTAGTGGCTAGAAACACAAGACAATGTCATAAAATTAGAGACACCAATCTAGAGACAAGTGTAGATGGAGCAGCCTTTTATAAATCCCACCACAGTAGGAATAAACGTGAGCAAATTAGACAGGCAGGAACGGCATCAAAAATTGCAACCATATGTTACAATTCCCACCTTCCCCTCAATTGCAAATAATCAGCAGAGAGGTGCCTCTAAAATCAGTATTAGAGAGGAAAGGAAAAGTGGGCCAGCTTACTCCAGTGATGGTGGGAATTGGGCAAAGGGGCAGCATATACAGCGCAATCACTGGCACATTTACTCAGAAGTAAATATTTAAGAAGAAGTAAGTATTTATGAATTGCACTCTTAATTCTTAAAGAACACCAGCATCCATAAAATGTGTGGAACGTCCAGACACTCTTTTGGGTCTTAGTTGAGCACAAAGGACAAACCAGATATGGTCCAGCCTGATTGATCTGGACTGAAAGCTTCAACAGAAATCCCAGAAATAGAGAGGACCATTTAGCAGATTCCTGGCCATCAGGAAAGGAAAAAGGCCACCCCTGAGCTGGGATCAAGGACAAGATCGCCAACCCTTTTTTCACACAGACTGCCCCTCTTTCCAGCCACCCACCAGACCTCCCCACTGCCCACCGTTGATTCCCTGCTTCCCTGTCTGGACAACTAGGACTTTTGGAAGCCACGAGGCAGACCGGATCGGAGCAAGAAGCCTGGGATCGAGGCAATCGGGAGCCTGAGCCACTCTCTGGAGAATCAATGCGCTTTTTTTAAGCCCTGATCTGTGGGAGGCAACCACGTTGCTCCTCCCTACACCCTAAGATCTCCCAAAGTAGATCTGCTTACAGAAATCCATTCGCCCGCCACCCTCAGTTGCCCCGATCTCTCCTCCCCCAGAGCCCCCTCCCTTCCGCCGGTTTGGAAGGCGCTCACGCACTTTCCGAGCCCGCCCCACTCACCGTGCGCTCCGTCTCGACAGATCGGGCGCCTTCTGTTGCGCGCGGCTCTCCGGGGACCATGCTCCGAGACTCCGGGCCGTGAAGCGCCTCCTCCTGGGTACCGGCCCTTCCAGGGCATCGAATTCGCTCCCTGTACCGGAGAGATGACAGTCGCCGTGGGCCAGGATAGCGCTCGCGGGAGCGAGATACCCTCGGCAAAACAGCTACGGAGCGCGGGGATCCTGAACTCTCGTTTTTTTTTTTTCAGGCGGACGGAGATTTCGCTTCTCCCCGATTTGGGTCGGAGCCCAGAATCGGGGCAGGCGCGCAGGCACGCACCCCGACAGGTTTCTCCCCGCTGGCCCGCCCTTGCTGGTGCCCCGCTGGCACCTCCCGGCGACGGCAGCTCCCCGGCAGCTCCTGCCTTCAGCCGGCCCCGGGGGCCATGGCCCGACGTCCCCAGGATCCTTCCACTGAAGTCGCCGACCTTCACGTCGCCAGCATGGCCAGCAGGTGCCCGGAGCGCTCAGCGCCCTCCTGTGGGGGGAAAAAGTTCGGGTTCAAGCGGCTGAGGGCCCGGACAGAAGCGGCGGCGGGGCAGGCCCCGATCCACGGACCAAACCCCTTCCAACGCCGGCCCGCGCTCAACTCGCGCAGCAAGGGAAATCCGCCCAGGGAGCGCGCAGCCGGCGGGACTCGGACTCGTGACCGGCAGAACGCCAGTCCAGGCGGCCTCTGGGAGGGAGAAAAGGACCAGCTCCATCTCAGCGCCTAGCCGAGTCTGGTGTCAAATTCCAGGCTCAGCTGTCACCTGATCCCCGGAGCGGGGCGGAGCGGGTTAGTCCCGACGACGAAGAGGAAGAGAGCGAGAGCGATCCACGGAAAGGATGGCGAAGGAGCTCCCCCGCCGCCACCCCCTTCTCCTGGGACCAAGGGAATTTAGAAGCAGACGTCGCCGATGGACGCCACCTGTGCGCCGAGTGCCTGGGCACTTTTACACTGGAGACGAGGGGAGCCCTCTGGAAGCTCACAGGGAGTAAGAACGCGGACGGGCCATTTGGCAGGACTAAAACCCAGCACTCAAATCCTGCTCAGAGAAATGAAGGAATGGCTCCACTTGAAATGACAGGGAATAGCAACGGCAGACTGGGAGAGAGTGGAAGGAAGGACCTTTGTTTTCTCATGGGCCTTCTGGTCCTAATACTCACCTCCCTCAGCCCAGCTGCACCAAGGGATGAAGAACACATGTGCACATGTGCAAGTAAACAGAAGTTTAGTGCTTGCTGGGTGATCCCAGTAGCAGAAATTATCTCTGTCTATTCATTGCCTTGGGCACCAGTCTTGACAGTCTGTTTGTCCAAAGAGGAGAGAGTGATTAGGAAGATCTTCATAAGAAGAGAAAAACAACACAACAACAACAACAGATAAATGAATAGAAGCAGTGGTTGAATAAATAGAAGCAGATAAATGAATAGAAGCAGTCATCACCAAAATATCACAGGTTCACTGACAGACTCTCCACAGCAATTCTCAGACACTAGCTTGGTGTCTGACTCACAGATCTGAGCTTGGTTGAAGACTCTTGGATATACAATATGATCTAGCACAGTGTTTTTCAAACTTGGCAACTTTCAGATGTCTGGGTTTCAACTCCTAGAATTCTCCAGTCGGCAGGCCACTTGGAGAATTCTGGGAATTGAAGGCCACAAATCTGAAAGTTGCCAAGTTTTTGAGAAAAACTTGATAGCACAAATAAGTAGGAAATTTTATTGCATTCTTTCAGTTACTTAAATAATTTGTTGGCTTTTGTCAGCCTGAAAATGCAGTCAATTCTTAACTCACAATAGATTAATTCCCACTGTTTTTTTCCTGCCACCCTTCCCATGGTTCTGCCTCACACTTTTTGGTCTTGAAGCTGAGGTTTTGTTCATTGTTGATATAATTGACATTTCTTGACAGAAACTCTGGCTGCCAGTGCTGACTCCCAGACTGTTGCTCAGAATTCACAGCAATTGTTGCTCCTCTGAAAGTACTAGTAACCTAACAGCTGGTGAAATGGACTAATTGCTTGCACTACTCTTGGTCCATATGATTATGGATGTGTTCATCTCTAACAAGGAGTCGTGTTATGTTAATGATGCTACTCTTCCATCTACATTTCCTTGGCAGAACCTCTGCAGTTCTTCTTTTCAGGATCTCAGATATAGAAGACATAGACATCTGATACAAACTGAAGAAAAAAATTAAGAAATTGTGCATTACCATGCCACAGTGTCATCCTGGCCTTTTCTATTTGCATCCTGGTGTTGGACATGATATATTTCAATATCTTGACATACATTTGGTCATTTATTCCTCCTCATCCCCCTTGTAGATGTCTATTGTTTAGGAAATTCTGTGTTTGGGAAATTCTGTGTTTAGGAAATTCTGTGTTTAAGAAATTCTTACAAATAACCGAAACTAGGTGGAGATAATCCTGGACCATTTGCATTTATTCCAATCCATTCAAAGTTCCCTCATTTAGCTGAGTTTTTTTTTAGAGTAAGATGAATATAAAGTAATTATTTCACTTTAATTTTAGAATGACTTAGAAAACTTGTATTTTACCAGTGACGTGTACCAGTGATCTTTCCAGGATAGAAAGATATATCCAGGGTGTATCCTGTCCATATCATGGACAATCATACACTTCACATCTCCTTGCTACCAATCCAAGTCTGTGCTGCTGGAATTTGACAGCACAATCTCAGAATATTTTTCAGTCTTGGGGGGATTTACAGGTGGTAGCAAATTGCGTCCCAGTGGCTATCTACTCCATTCCCACTTTGAACCACATCCACAAATACCCTCTCTCTCCCCAAAGCCCATACATTTCAGCTGTACACCTGCTGGGAATTCACTACATCACTAATGGTGCTCCTGCAGAAAGTGACCGTATCAGAAGTATCCACCATGCTCTACTTTAATATTTAAAATTGAGTGGCAATAACTTTCCATTAATTTGGTCAGATCCTTCTCTGTCCATTTCTGGAAAGGGCAGGAACAGAATGTGAGGCTTAATGCCTGCAATGTCTACCATTCTAGCCCTTCTTGGCTATAATTCCTGGCTCAGACCTCAGTGGCAAAGGTGACTCTTTGCTAGACGTCACCAGTGGAATTCCCCAGATGACTCACAACTTCCGTCCCTACAACAGGTACCCTCCTAGATCAAGTCCCACATAGTGGCTGAAATAGTCTATCAATCAGCTTATGGACAAGTTGTTACTTCAAAACATCTGCTTTATTTTTCTACTGTCCTTAAATAACTGCGCTGGCACAGCAGAAATTTTCTTGGACTTCAATTACCATTTTTCCTGGGAGGCATACATGGAAAGGGATTGTGCCCCTTTATTTTTCCAAGTTCCCTGATTTCAGACAGCTTTGGAGCATGAAGTGATGTCTCACATCTCCTGCCTACCCTTCCCTATTTGCTGTTGTATGTAAGCCCCTCCCTCCATTTCATTTCTGACTGGCTACATTTGCTCTCAGTTGCTCTCTCTTACCTCTACTTACTTTTTCCCAACCGGGCGCTGTCTTGTCACCAGATCAAAACCAGTGTAGCTTGATCAATTGCCAATCCAAATTGGAGGGGCCGGGCTGGGCTTATTTAATAACTTTGCTCTGGAGATCTGCTGGATGGCAAATGAGTCTGTGCTATGATACTGCATCTAGCCCTCCTCCCCTTCAGCCTAGCCAGCTCTATATATAGGTAAAACATTATTTACTCTTAGCCACAGAGGAACTTATCCCTGAGCACATTTGCTTAAATCTATTAGGATTATCCTATGTGACAGCTCCTTTTTATTAAAGTGTAGCCACTCCTCTTTAGCTCACACTTGTATGAAATGAATGTCGTATTGTCCTTTCATGTGGCATAACTTGTTCAGAGACCCAGCATCAGAGTGAGTGCTATCAAAAAATATCATACTAAGTGGATTTCTGGTCTCTCCAGCGATAAGAAATGAACTCTTGGGTAGATTGAGGCATCAGGATAGAACATTCTTTTCCTAGATAGTGGCAACGTTAAACACAGGAATTGTGGTCTTTTTACTGATAGTCTTCTAGTGATAATTCCATCTTGATCATAAAAATAATTGCTGCACAATGTATGTATATATACACCCAAACATTTCCCACTGAACATTTGGTACTCCCTCCTGCCTTCCCTCAACTGTTTCAAGAGGGCTATTTTAAGCAACTATAACTTGTGCCTGAATTTCTGTATTTGCATTTTTCCTTCTCCATCCCTTTTGGATAATGTTTGCACTGTTTCCCATTTTAATCAATATATGGCTTTTTGAATGGTTTTGGAATTTTACAGATGAATCCTCCTCTAAATGATATAATGTGTAAAATAAAGAAGACTGCCCAGGATGGACCCACATGTGAATTAAAACATCCCATTTTCCTAGATTGTAAAGTGAACTTTTACAGTATATCATTACCATTTTATATACTTTTATATTCTGAACAGATTTGGGTACTCTTTTATCTCATGCCTTTTTATCTCTATAGAGTTGCCACTGTATAATCTGTTGAATTAATTTGCTGTAAATCATAAATATTACGAATGGAGAAGAAATAAATAAACTCTGCTCCCTGTCACAGATGTTGTGGGCGTCCTTTTCTTAATTCTCCACAATTCAGAGAAATCCCATTAACTATGGGAGACATTTAAAAGGTTTATTTGTCTTTCTGCCACCATCCAACTCTTTCCTGATTTATCAAATGAGCTTGTTCTTTTCTTATCTTTATATCTTGGAGGTGACATAATGGCACATTTTTAAACCAAGAAGCAAGTTAACTTTTAATAAATAACTTAAAATGTGTTTAAAAACAGGTTAAATTAATATTCACATGTCTATAATTGTAAATTGTTGTCTTCCCTAGTACTAACAGAAGATAGTCCTTGTATTACAACAGCACTTGGGAATGGAATTTCCATACATAAGCAATGCAATCGTAACATGTGATGTCACACGATCCTTAGCAACAGCAAATCTTGGTTGCTGTTCTAATCCCAGGGCTGCATAGGTCATAAAGCAAAAAGCCCAGGACTGCATGAGAGTCCTAGTCAAGAAGACAGGCGGATGCACAGGTAGAATGGCGAGTATTGCAGGTAAAAAATGCAGAGGACAGGTGGGTATACAGCAGGTATAAGAATGCTGTGGCCAGGGGCTAAAGTGTGTGAATGGGTATGCAGGTGCTGAAGAAAGTGGGAATGCCATAGGCAGGTGCTACATAGGGCCGGCAAGCAAAAAACAGAACAAAACAAAAAACAATAACAGTGGGAACAACTGACTTCCTACTTAACTTTTATGTGAAATGAGAGAATCTCAGAAATTACAATCACATGACCAAGGTTGCTGCAACATTTAACTGCAAGCCATGTGCTAAGCTGGGATGCTGTGATTGTCACAACTTTGCAGACTGGTCATAAGTCCCTTCATAATTTTGAACTGTCATTGAAGTAGTAGTCATAACTTGAGGATTACCTATTCAATAACCTTGTACGATAGATGGAGGTTATCTTAGGCTAGGACTCTGGGTCTCCCTCAAGCTGGTCCTTCCATCCACACCTCCAAAATCCCTGTTTCCTCCTTCCTCTGGAATATAAACTGGAGTGCTATTTTGCACTGCCATACTTTGCAGTACTACCACTCAATCATCACACTCTCCAAGTAGAGATTGTAGCCTTCAAGATGCATGGAATGCTTTTCTTCTCAATTTCAAAGGAGAAGCCTGGCTATGTATACTTTCCATGGCTTATACTAAATCTTGGATAATCTACTGCATTTTGCCAGAGAAATGTATATGAAAGCAATAGCAACACCCTTCATTATACTTGTAGTGCCAATTTAAGTAATTTTTCACATAACAAGAAAAATTCCAAAACATGTATATCAGCCTTTCACAACTTAGTTCCCATTGTGTGATGTATGTAATTCCTGTAGGCCACTCTGGGACCTGAAGTCAATATACTGGATCAGGGGTCGCCAACCTTTTGGACCTCAGGAACCATCAAACTCATAATTTTAAATCCCAGTGACCACTAACCGGTTCTGTGGACGTGGCCTGGTGGCTTGGTGGTCATGGGACTGGCTGGTCATAGCTTGTATGTAAATATTATAAATATTTATATAAATATTGAATTTTTTATAAAAAAGAGCAACTTTTACCCAAAATTAGGGAAAGCAGGCAGGCAGAT